ATTCTGTCAGCTAGACAACTTTATTTTATTTTAAATATCGAATGGACATAGTGAGCACTCAAGAGCTCCGCTTCAGTAGTCGCCTTTCATGGATCTTCAAACAATACCTTCCGGGGTAAAGGATTACGGTAAATGTTCTACTGATTAGAAGCTGCGCCAGATTTGGCTTCATTGATAAATTCTTTAATTTTAATATGATTTTTGCACAGTTGTTCACTAGAATCCACATATTCCACACCACTGGCTACATCAACAGCCCATGGATGTACAAAGCGAACAGCCGCTCGAATATTATCTGGTGTTAAACCACCAGCAAGCATAATTGGCACTTTCTTATTAATCATTTTTGCAATTGTCCAGTCGAATGTCTGGCCGCAATCGTCACTTGTCTTAACTACGTCTAATAATATAGCAGCAGATGCTGAATCAGATTCTATCATCTGAAGTATATTTTGTACATCTGTAGTAGGTTCTATAGATATAACACGTATAACTGGCCTATGAATTTGCGTTGCAATCTCATGTTCATAATTATGTAACTGTACAAGGTCTAATCCAGCTTCTTTTACTATGCTATTAATTTCTTTTATATCATTATTCATGAATACACCAACTAATAATGGTCTATTTGTATGATTTATTAATTGTATTAAATTTAAACAACGTTGTTGATGCCAATCGATGACACTTATCGATTCAACTTCTTCACATTTTGACCATGATCCTGCTTTTAATGCTGCTGATATTGCTTTTACAATTTCTACACTAACATAACGTTTTGATTTTTTAACAAATATAAAACCAATAAGATCAGCGCCTGCTTTTGCAGCAGCTAATGCATCATCAACTGTACACAAACCACATATCTTAACATATGGAAGTGTTGATGTTGCGCATATATTACAAGCTTTATTGTTACTGTCAACACTTAATGTCTGATTAGCAATTGGCACTAACTGTCCATAATTTTGCGCCGTTATTTGCAAGCTGCTGCCATATTCTTGCGTATATTTTATGTAGTCATTCATTGTTTGCAATGCTTTTCCATTATTAATACTTTCTCTGGCAATAACTACACCATCTCTAAAATCTTTAGCTCTACCAGTTATAACTAATGCAGCTGAAGCATTAATTAATACATGATCTAATATAGCACATTCATATCCTCCAGATAATAT